TTTGACAGTAACCATAAAGATAACCGACGTATTTTTTACATTTGTCAAAGTTAAAGTAAGATGGTGCAACCCAGCCTAAAGTTGTTACAAGTAAACATAAGTATGTTTTGTCGTCTTGGAAAAAACTACTTAAGATACTTTTTAGTCTCTACTTTAAAGTAAATGCTGTTACAGGTAACATACATTTATGTTTCATAGGGGACGGTTTTCAACAAGCTTTCTGATAAAACATAAAAAGCTTTTGTTCCCAAGTTAGATTTTTTTGTGCTTTAGAGAGAATAAACATTGTCTATGCTCTTAAAAGTATCTAACGGCACTTTTAACCCTCGATTAATATCACTATCAAAATTAAAACTATTACAATGCACAATGAAAACGTCCAATTTAATAAAAAAAGCTATTTTTCAAATTGAATGTTAACTTCTAAAATTACTTTTATCACATTGAGAATGATACATTTGTTTTGAGTATTCTAGCTTTAAAAATCCACTTTTCGCTATCGCAAATCCGTAGAAGTAATTTTACTGAAGAAACAACGTTTCAGTTTAGTTAAATTACTTAAATGAGTTGTACTGAACATAATTTTAATGTTCAGATCTGTATTTGGAACTTCTTAAGCTTTGTTCAAGTGTTCCTAAAGTTAATTATGATTACTGCTTATGTTTTTAGTTTATAAAACAAATGTTAACTTTATTTATTTGCGAGAATTTGTCTCTGCTTATACTTAAATTGAACTTAAATGTAACAAGGCCAACCTATATTACTCATTCTTTCTCAAACCTATATTAGAAACGAACACCTTTTTGTCAATTTTAAATTATTTTCTTGAAATTGTCTGCTTGTCTAACTAACGCGATACGCACATAGGTAATACTGAAATATCACTTGTATTCGCCTAACTGTCTATTTGTAAACCTTAATTTTAAACTAACATTTAAAACAAAGACGCAAATCGATTCAAACTTTTAAATTACGCCCACTACCATCATTCATCACTTTACTTGTGACGTCTTACAAGTTAAAATTACGTAAATGCAGTCGCTTTAAAACCCAACAAATCTGGTCGAGTTAAACTCTAAAATTGCCATTGTTGACTGGATTTACGGAACAGTCGTATTTCCCAACCTCCGCAAATTCAATCCGCTTCTTTCTCGCTGCCCCGATACGATTATAAATTCATTTTGCGACGCGTTTAGCAGGAAGTATTGCGACCCGCCGAAGAATTGAGTTTTATCCAATTTCGTTTCCTTTAGGCACTTGTCGAGTTGCATTAAATTTTTCAATTGTTGGCGGATAAAGTGAAATAATTCAAAGCACAGAAAATATTTAGTATTTAAACGCAAAATATACCACCCATAATTCCATTTTGTGACTATATGGGTCAATGCACACGGTGGTAAATAAAACATTTTTTCTACAAACGTCTATAGATTGGGTTTGACTTTTGTATGTATCGCGTCAGTATTGCTACAAAACTCTGTGTGCATACCACGAGCCGGAAGACGTAGCGTGGACAGGCCTCCCACTAGGTGGACCGACGATCTGGTGAAGGTCGCGGGAGGTGCCTGGATGCGAACGGCGCAGGACCGGTCTTTGGGGGAGGCCTTTGTCCAGCAGTGGACGTCTTTCGGCTGAAATGAATCCGAATAGAGTTTAAAACTTCAAACCGACACCGAAAGCACCGAATAGAGTCAAGTGTCACATAAAAAACTAAAGTCAATCTTTTTTTCAACCGCATACGGTTCAATCTTCAGCCCCTTGTCAATTAAGCTCGACACTCACTGACTCCATCCGATCCATTCACTCTTTGCCGCGTGACCAGTGAGCCGTTCATTCTTTTGACGCGGGAAGCAAATCACTTTGATATTGTGGAGAGCTATCGGGAACGTCATGAACCAGACTCGTTATGATTGTCGTTTGTTCGTGTTTCAGTTTTGTGTGGGGTCGTATTACTTTTTTGCAGGCTCTAACAATGCCAATGTAGTTGATTAATTGTTTTTGTGCTGGAAAAAGCCGTAATGAATTAGACAACATTGTATTTGACGAAGAAATGACTTAATAGTGATTATAAAATAATGACTCAACTAACTCTTTTTTTATGCAAGACAAGGCAGGTATTTGACCGCAATCGCACCTGGTGTTAAGTGAGATGCTCTCATTCTGCTTATGTGCAAAATCTCAAAAATAATGCACTAAACTTTAGGAAGTCATATAGTTTTGAAGTAAGCAAATTATTGTGTTACATTGCTGGATAATTCGGTATGCGTTTCACATAAAAAAAATTAAATTCTGTTCGTAAAACCAAATAAAATAGACAAAACGTAATCGCGATTCGAATTTGCAATCAAAATGGCCTCTAAATTGCGGTCAATCACAAAGTTGACGCTTCAATTAACCGTTGCAATAGCAACCGGTATGTAACCGGCGCTGACGTCATCCGCCGGTCGCAGAGGGAATGTTTACAAATGTGCCAGTGTGCGTCGACGATTATTTTGGGAATGGCCAGTTCGATTCGTTCGATTTTTGAAATGATCATGGAATAGTATTTTAAGATGATGTCAAGGTGCTAAAAAAAATAGAATTCGGAACCGCCTCCGCCGCCGGAAAATAGAAAATGCTTTGACACTATATACACTAACAGGTAGGTACGTACATTAAGCTTAGAATATCGTGGAAACTGAAAAAAATATCCACACAATGCAGAACACATTGGAATTTTTGCAATTAGAAAGAAAGGGCTCACTAAACTTATTGATGATGATGATGATGCTGCTTTTCTAGTGATCGCGCGACCGTCAACAACAACACAACTCCGTCGTTATTAACCGTGTTTGTTTGTGCAAAATGATAGGAAAAAGTGCGCATCGTTTAAGTCTAATGTGTTAATAGTGTAGACTAAACCCTTTTCTATAAAATTCCGGAAAAAACAGTAAAAAAAAAATCCCAAAATAGTGAAGTTTTAGACAAAATTATTCACAAGAATTTAAAATTATCGTTGACTGCTCGACAATCACTTGCGGGCCGTCGCTGCTGTGAGTCACCGCGCTGCTCGTCGACCGCTTCGCCCGCTACCACCGTACCGCCTGCCTAGCGATACGTGTCGCTGTATTATCGCTGCATAACATAGTAAAAGGATTGCAGAAATGAAGTCTGGACGTGCGTTGAACTGCGCTGGATGCAAAAACAATATAAGGGATAGTAAATATGTATCATGCACGAGCATAAATTGCAAAAATGTTTTTCACCACCTTTGTGTAAACTTCAAAAACACCGAACCGAATGAAACCTGGATCTGCCCGGACTGCCGCAGCACTATTAAAAGAGTGGGAGATAATTCGGCTACACCTGTACGATCAACAGATAACGTCACAATAAGGAAGCCCAGAAACACAAGTCCTACTACCAGTACATCAACGAGCACCACAAACTCACTCTCGGAACTTACCCAGGAAATCCGTCTCTTGAGGGAAGAGGTCTCGTCCATGAAGTCTGAATTCAGGTCTGTTATCTGCGCGCTGACTAAATGTGAAGAAAGGCTGGATGACATTACCACCAAGATCTCAGCTCAAGAGGCTCGGCTTGAGGCCGTGGAGGGCTGCGCGGCGGGCATGACGGACCTGAAAATCAAAGTTGAAATCCTGCAGGAAAAACTCAACAACCAGTATCAAGGTATGTTGAGGAAAGATGTAGAAATCCAANCAATCACTCCGAAACAATCGACTATCCTGCGAGTTCCTTTACCGTCGACGCGCGTTCTAAACAAATGACAATCTCGTATAGAAACATTGGCCCAAAAGTTGGTTCCAAACGCCACTCGGCCAACGTGTATCTAGAAAACATTGGCACCAACGTTGGGCCATCTTCACGAGGCAAAAACAGCGTTCGAAACAAATGACAATCGCAGAAACTTCTAGCTTTTTCAAGTTTGTTTTTTTCTTATCGTCGCCGACGCGCGTTCGAAACAAATGACGATCGTCGATTGTTTCTTCTAGAATTTTCATTTTTTCAAGGACGTCCCACGGTCACCCATCCTAAAAGTGACACATACGAAAAGTAACACCTAAAATGGAAGATTTCCTGACCTTGGTGGTGCTTCTGTCGCAGCTTATTGAGCAGGTTGGTGGCGTCGAAGCCGGCGTTGTCGCACAGCTGGCGCGGGATGGCCTCGAATGCGCGCGCGATGCCCGCCAGAAGCGGTTGCTCCTTGCTGGCGCGAGCAAAAACACACTGCTCTATTGCTAGCTATATAAGGTTTAGATTCCCACACGGTCCCTCTTTTACTATATGAGCGGAGGAGACACTGCTCTTATTGCTGGCTACAGAAGGTTTAAAATCCCACACGATTTTATTACTAGACGAGGTGCTGGAAATACTGCTCTATTCTTACCTACAGAAGGTTTTCCTCCACCATGTTTGTGACGTCACACACCAGGCTAGCTACTCATCCTTTTGTTCCAATTCTTTAGACATTAAGGTAGCTGATGAAGTTTTGGTAACTAAACCCTAGTGCTTAAAGACCTGGGGCCTAAAGAAACCTCTCCTTGAGGACCCCTTATAAACACTTTTCTATCATCACACTATGAAATTTCAGAAATTTTTGCTTTTTGTATTTTTTACCGAGATTTGATCTTGGTTCCTCTCGGATATGGAGCGCATTCTTTACCAATGCGCCACCGCAGCTGTTAAAGAACACTCCGAAACAATCGACTATCCTGCGAGTTCCTTCACCGTCGACGCGCGTTCTAAACAAATGACAATCTCGTATAGAAACATTGGCCCAAAAGTTGGTTCCAAACGCCACTCGGCCAACGTGTATTTAGAAAACATTGGCACCAACGTTGGGCCATCTTCACGAGGCAAAAAGAGCGTTCGAAACAAATGACAATCGCAGAAACTTCTAGCTTTTTCAAGTTTGTTTTTTTCTCATCGTCGATATGCGTTCGAAACAAATGACGATCGTTGATTCTCTCTTCTAGAATTTTCGTTTTTTCAAGGACGTCACACGGTCACCCATCCTAAAAGTGACACATACGAAAGGTACACCTAAAATGGAGGGTTTCCCGACCTTGGTGGTGCTTCTGTCGCAGCTTGTTGAGCAGATTGGTGGCGTCGAAGCCGGCGTTGTCGCACAGTTGGCGCGGGATGGCCTCGAAGGCGCGCGCGATGCCCGCCAGAAGCAGTTGCTCTTTGCCCGCGACGCCTTTGGAGTATTCGCGAAGGTGCTTCGATATTTCCATGTCGATTGCGCCGCCACCTGTGTAGATAAGAAGTCATTTAGAATCAGACACACAGCCTTTAAAAATTAGAGTCATTTTAGCACACGCACATGCCACTTTTCGGATCGGCTATTTAGACGCTTTCCACAGTCAATGAGAGAGGGTCAAAAAAGTTGTTAAAAACATAACATTATAATGGACAACTTACGACCGTATTCACAAACATTACTATGAGGTCTCACAGTGCGCGTGGACGCACAGGAGGACACACGAACCAATCACAGAGCTCTATTCAAAGCTGTGCGTTCGATTTGCTGCTTCATAAGTGCTTAAGAGCAACCATTATTTGTGAATACGGGTGTTAGCCACTATATTCCGGTCGCCGAGCACGTAGAATTTCGTCCAATGACCCCAAGCTATCCTTATCGCTCACGCGTAATTATATTGCTGTCGCGACTGTGTGACGGGCGGTCGCAGTGAGTGTGCGAGCGGGAGAGCAGGCTTTAGCAAGTGATAAGTACCCTATTGAGACGTTAAGGGTGTGTCGCGAGCGTATTTGTATCGAAAAATAGTAAGCAGGACGGTTGCGGTTGCATTTCTGCGACGGACGTCCGGACTTGCATCGCATACCTTCGCAAGTTTTAGTCACATCCTAAGAAGTCTTAAAAAGCATTTAATGGCTGGAACTTGGCTAGAATAACACTGACCAGCGACAACAGCGTCGTTCTTGATGGTCCGACGCACGATCATGATGGCGTCATGTAGTGAGCGCTCCGTCTCCTCCAAAAATTGCTCGGCGCCTCCGCGGAGTATGAGCGTGCATGTCTTCGCTGCGGGACAACCTGTATAAAAAACAAACAAATACCATCAATATACAAATAAAAATATAAGCGACAATGTCGGTTTTGATGTTGGATTGGCCAATTCCTCCTCTTGCATCTCCTTCAGCAGGGCTGTCAAGAGAAAACTACACTCAACATCAAATAAATTGCACCTTCCGCGACGCGAACTTTAAAGATTTTCTTCTGACACAATCATGGTGCCCCAACAATATTGGTGTTATTTGAAAGCCCAATAAATATACTTAAAGAAAAACATTTATTTTTTTTATAAACAATTAACAGGTACCATAAATGTGACTTGAAAAAAGGCCTCACTTGGGGCTCACCTATGGGTCGAAGTAAGACTAATTTTTGTGGTTATAAAACCATATAATGATCATACGTGTCTTTTTTAACAGATTTATAGCCATAAAAGTTGGCTCAAGCGTAACTACCTATTTTTTGAAGAAGTGACTCTGGATCCTTCTAAAGATACATTTTTGGGGTAAAAACCTTTCCCTTTAATGAAATGAAATGAAGTTTACAGGTACCATAAATGTGACTTGAAAAAAGGCCTCACTTGGGGCTCACCTATGGGACCAAGTAGACTAATTTTTGTGGTTATAAAACCAAATAATGATCACGTGTCCTTTTTAACAGATTTATAGCCATAAAAGTTGGCTCAAGCGTAACTACCTATTTTTTGAAGAAGTGACTCTGGATTCTTCTAAAGATACATTTTTAGGGTAAAAACCTTTCCTTTAATGAAATGAAGTTTAGAACTATGCTTTCAAATGGTACCAATGTTAGTGGGAAGTGGGGTTGCATACGTTTGATAAGTGCTTGTCGCGGGAGGTGCGATTTATTTGATGCAGAGTGTAGTTTCGAACCAACCCTGGCGCGTGCCTTTGGCCACGAAATTCTACGTGCTCGGCGAACGGACTTATGAACAACACTATATTCACTAAAGTAACTGCCTACGACACAAATACAATACGTAGTCATAAAAATATTTAGCTTAGCTAGAGGAGTTAACATAAGTCTTTTTATATTCAACCATAATCGGTTGGCGTTTTCAGTCAAACTGTAGATCCTGGCTACATATGAGTTGCAAAAGACTACAATACAATTACAGGTAACTACAACATAGTGTCACATCTTACCATTAGGAGCGTCTTCTTTATTATACCCTGGGGAAGGAAAGGTGGTAGGTTAGGAGTAGGAAGGGTAATAGAGTGGGAAAAATACGTAAGAACAAGTTGTAAGATCTAATTAAAATTAGTCTATGTAAATAAATATAACTTTAATTTTGATTTTAATGTCAAACTTCTTTGCTGACGACAGAGTTAAAAAAGTTCACTAAAAGCAAGCAGTTACGTTTTCGAAATATTCTATTCTTTTAGTGCATATTATTTGAAGTCGGTCTTTTTAGCTGACTTAAAAAAGGACGTTTTCAATATGGTGTTTTTTTTTCTTCCTTAGAATACACCTTTGCGGAGCTGGGGCAGAGAATATGGGACGCAATTATATTTATTTCACGTCGTGTGCGTTTTAGGGAGATTGTCTCTGGTTAGCTCTCGCATGACGCAGTGGACCAGGGCCCCTGTGTGAGCTCACGCATAAACGTCAGCATAGTACGCTACACTCGATTGTTTCAGCCAAATGACGTCCTCTGCTGGATAAAGTCTCCCCCAAGGATTGCCTGCAATCTTTATCAAGGGGTTCCACTTAATGGGAGGCCTGCTCAGGTTCTGGGGTGGGCTCTATACCATTCTGGGGTAGGCACGGCCTACGACGAGGGGCGCGATTAGTGAGCTTGCGTGTGACGTCAGCACCACACTCACCGATGAATATGTGGCCTCGCGCCTAGGCTAGGCGCCTCTAGGCCGCTTAGAGGCGCCTGCGTCAGTATTCGTGTGACGTCAGCGCCGCCACTTCTTCTCAGCACCAGCCCATATGTTGTCCGGAAGTGGTGGTAGGGCAAGCTATATTTGGGACGTGTATAAGCACCCTAAAAAGAGCCTAAGCACTGAATAAAATGACTGACAACTTACCAGTAAACATGTTATATCTCTCTCCGCCGACCTGCCTCTCAGTAAAGGCGCGGCAGTGACCAAGCGACGACTGCGTCAGCTCCCGAACTGACGTCAGCACGGCGCCTGGTGAGCTACAGCGTGACGTCAAAACCCCACACTTACCAGTAAATATATTTTATTATATCTCTCGCCACCAACTTGTCGCTCAGTAAAGGCGCGGCAGTGGCCCAGAGACGATTGCGTCAGCTCCCGAACTGACGTCAGCACGGCGCCATCACACGCCTAGCGAGATCCAGCGTGACGTCACCATCTCACACACCCACCGGTGATTAGATGTACCGCCCTAGGGGCGTCTGTGTGACGTCAGCGCCCCCTACTCACTGGTAAAGATGTTGCATTGCTCGGTGAAGGTGCCACTAGGCCTCCTATGGGCCTCGTGAAGGCGCCCCTAAGCCTCCTATGAGCCTCGGTAAAGGCGCCCCTAGGCCTCCTAGGGGACTCGGTGAAGGGCCCCTAGGCCACCTAGGAGCCTCGGTGAAGGCGCCCCTAGGCCGCCTAGCACCCATATGTTATTATCCCGAAGTGGTGGTAGGGCAAGCTATAATAGTAGGACGTGTATCAGTGAAATTCTTAATCCACTTACCAGTAAGGATATTATATCTCTCGCCACCAACTTGCCGCTCAGTAAAGGCGCGGCAGTGACCGAGTGACGACTGCGTCAGCTCCCGAACTGACGTCAGCACGGCGCCTGGTGAGATACAGCGTGACGTCAGAACCCCACACTTACCAGTAAAGATGTTATATCTCTCGCCACCAACTTGCCGCTCAGTAAAGGCGCGGCAATGACCGAGGGACGACTGCGTCAGCTCCCGAAGGCGCCTAATGAGACCCCTAGACCGCCTAGGGGCGCCTTATGAGACCCATATGCCGTCTAGGGGCGCCTAATGGGACCCCTAGACCGCCTAGGGGCGGCTTATGAGACCCCTAGGCCGACTAGGGGCGCCTAATAAAACCCTTAGGCCACCTAGGGGCGCCCAATGTGACCCCTAGGCCGCCTAATGAGACCCCTAGGCCGTCTAAGGGCGCCTAATGAGACCTGTGTGACGTCAGCGCTCGCCACTCACCGGTGAAGATGTTGTATTTATATTTAGCGCCCTGGAAAGAGCCTAAGTACTGTTACCCTAAAAAGGCCGCTTTGAGCAATTCTCATTAGATTCATAATATGATTCAGATTTAAAAACACAAAATGGCCACTTGTCGGCAATTCATATTATGATTCGGATACAATTCATATTCGGCAATTCATCTATTTGACAGTTTTGTATGAGAAATCGTAAAATAGCCCACAAAATAGGAATTGCTAATGTGTCAATTGCTAATGTGCTAATCCACAAATAAATCCAAGGACTCGCTGAGACTACTGACGAAAATGCTCACTGCATCATAACGTCGCTGGCTAACGCGGCTGGGATAAAACTGGAAGAAGCAGACATTGACTTCGCTAACCGAGTAGGACCGGCTAAACCCAACTTACCCCAAACACCGCGACCTATAGTAGTACGGTTTATCCGGCGCGCGACGCGTGACAGGTTTTTCAGAGCAGTCAAAACACGTCGCCTAACCTCCAAAAACATCAACATTGATGGACCGGAACGAAACATCTACATTAATGAAAGACTCACACAAGTTAATAGACAGTTATTTCGGACCTGCAGAACCGAATTCAAAAGTGTGGGATACAAGCACTGCTGGACTAGGGACGGAACTATCTTCGTCAAGAGGCGCGAGGGCAAGGGAGAGGAAATATTTACAATCAGGAGGCATGAAGACATTCAGAGACTTTTGCAAAAAAGCAAAAATGAGCAGCATCAGTCCTCGGGCTGACAGGTTTACCTCTGAAAATAATATGCATATTTTTATTACCTCATGTTTTATGTTATCTTTTTTCTTTTCATTATTAGTTTTTTCTTTGGACCCACAATCAAACAAACATAACTCTCATCACTACACACATCAACATCATACACACCTAAACAAGTCAACACCTCACCACACAATCGACGTGTCAAGTGCAATCTATAAAATGTGGCAGGGAGGATCCAGCTCAATTATAAATCATTATATTGACGGCTTTTCATTTGAAAATGGCTGACTTAGATATATTACAGGAGCTGGATTCCATTGAAATCCCCTGCCACACTGTAGATTCTCTAGAAGCATGCAAAACACACATCTCGAATTATTATAATCTTAAAGTACTTAGTCTGAATATTAGAAGTATACAGCAAAACTTTAATCAATTTCTGGTAATTTTGCAAAGATTAAGCATATCTATCGACATTATAGTGCTTACTGAATGTTGGATACATGAGCATTCTGTAATTCCACAAATGAATGGCTATCTATCTTTTAGAACACACAAGTATATTAATAAAGCAGGAGGGGTAGTAACATATGTAAAAAACCACCTGATGCCTGAAGTCACGGAGCCAGATTTGATTGAGGCTAATTGTCTACAGATTAACATTAAACACAGTACTACTCTACTGGCTGTATATCGATCACCATCTTTTGAAAATATTTGCCCATTCATTTCGTCACTTGTTCCTATTGTGAATGCCATAAAACACTCGCCTTGCGTAATAATGGCGGGTGATATAAATATTAATATATGCTCAGAAAATGTTTCAGAATCTAGCGCAACTTATTTGTGTGTTCTTGCGGAGCTTGGCCTTGTCCCTACGATCACAAAACCAACTCGAAACAGTGCTTGTCTGGATCACATTAACATAACTTCTAAATTTCAATCAGTATCAGTGATATGCAGGACGAGTATAACGGATCATGATCTAATTATAACAGCAATAAGATTAAAAACGCCGAATAAAAGCCATCGACATACAGTGAATAAATTAAACTTTGCTGCTATAGAATTGGAACTAAGCAAAGTGAACTGGCATAATGTAGTTAATAACAATTCGGTAAATGCTGCCGCCGCCGCATTTTCAGAGAAAATACTTGGTATTGTTGAAAACAACACTTCTAAAGTTAAGGTTAGTCGATCAAAGGTTTTGCTTAAGCCATGGATTACACCTGGCCTTGTTAGGTGCTCCAAACATAGGGACAAGCTACACGCACAGGCGAAGAACAACCCTCATGATCAAATAAAAAGAAAAATTTTTACCCGCTACAGAAATTTTTATACTGATCTTTTAAGAAAACTCAAACATGAACACGAATCATTAGAACTAGAAAAAAACAAAAATTCTCCAAAAAAACTCTGGAAATCGATTAGGACTATAACACACACAAACAAAACTAAAGAAAAATCTCAAGCGCTTATAAACATTAAAGACACAACAGAGAAATCTCTGAACCACTGCAATGAATTCTTTTCAACTATCGGTAAATGTTTGGCAGAGAAAATACTTACAAACACAAATGAAACTCAAAAGTCATTAGCAGCCAAGGTTTCATTGCAAGGTGCACCTGTCCAATCGTTGTTCTTGGAACCTACTGATGTGGCCGAAATCGAGTCCATAATAATAAATCTTAAAATAGATAGTGCACCCGGCCTAGATGGTGTATCAAATAGGCTATTAAAAGTAGTGAAAAACCACTTAATAACTCCTCTTACAGCTATCTGTAACTTAAGTCTATCTGAGGGAATATTCCCCGATCAATGGAAAGTAGCAGCTGTTGCTCCCATCTATAAGTCTGGCGACAAAACTGAACCGAACAGCTACAGACCGATTTCCTTACTGGGTGCTTTCTCTAAAATCTTGGAGAGACTAGTAAGCAAGCGTCTTATAAAATTTATTGAAAGCAACAGGCTGATCTCTGAAAGGCAATTTGGCTTCAGGCAAGGTAGGTCCACTGAAGGGGCGGTATCTCTGTTAACTAGTATAATCACAGAAAACCTTGACAATAAAAGGCCCTGCATAGGAGTGTTCCTCGACCTCGCAAAGGCATTTGATACTGTGTCAACGTATATACTTATCGAAAAACTAGAAAAAATGGGTATTCGGGGCACTCCGCTTAATTGGTTTCAGAGTTACTTAACCGGCCGTAGTCAGTGTGTCAGAATCGGGGAACACCAAAGTACAGCCAGCCTAGTGGAATATGGGGTTCCGCAGGGTAGCATTCTCGGCCCGACGCTTTTTACCCTCTATATCAATGATATCATATCCTCCGACCTAGTGAATGCCGAGACTATCTGCTACGCCGACGACACAGCGATTATTTTCCATGATACTACCTGGAATAGAGTCGTGGAACGCGTAGAGGAGGGGATGAAAGTAATCACCACCTGGCTGCAAAACAATCTGTTAACTCTTAACGTACAAAAAACTAAATTTCTCTGTTTCTACAAGACTCTGACTTCCTCGCCCTCTCTCACTGACATTACGATTCACGAGTGTAGAAATAGGCAACCTCAACAACCCTGTTCTTGTGTATTATTTTATTATTATTATTTTTATTACATACAGGGATGTAATCTAAGCTCTTACCTTTAGACAGCTCGAGTTTAGGTTGTATCCATCAAATGTGAGCAAGGTATACCTAGCACCAATTTTACCGAGTAATAGTAGTATTCTACGGACCTAACCTTCACTGGTTGGGTTTCATTGGTCGCCAAACTGTAGATCCGGGCGGTACACGTACCTATGTTAAAATCTATTGCAGAGTTGAGTTTTCAAGCTACTACGGTACACAACACACAAAAGCACACTGAAAAGCTCAGGGCTGCCACATTAGTAAGACAAAATTAAAATAGATTCATACCTCTTGTCACTGAAAAAGAGGATGTAATGTAAAGAAAATCTTAAGCAAGAACGTTGCTAGGAACTTTATACCTACTATAAATATCAGATCATTTTATTCGTTGCATGAGCACAACCCTCTCTAATTTACAAGAGACAAATGAAGGATGGCCGACACTTTGGCTTCCAATAGGGAATAATTATGCGAACATTAGGCTTTTCTAATCGCTTTTACAAAAATGTAATAGTAAATCCGAACAGTGCCAACCCTACAAACCGGAAAGTATCAAGCTGGTGGAAATTGCGTCCAGTCACTGCTGCATCATCTGTACCACATCTATAAGCCCATTGTGCGGACAAAAACCCTGTATTTTAACCACACGGCACCAGACAAAAGCTCCAGTTTATTTGAAAACTGTTTCACTGAGCTTTCGAATAAGCTTTTTTGTAATGAATGCCCAGACTTAGAAGCTTTTGTATCTTTTTGTATAGTACTGAATTGGATCGTGCATTTTAAAGAAGTAATGGAGGTTTTAAATTTTGTTCACCTATTACATAGGCTTGTGAGCTGTTAGATAATCCGAGAATGGTGCCCAGTTCAAAATAAAATGGATTTTTGTAAAATAGTGTTGTGATTTTTAATCCACAGTTATAAGCTATTTTTAGAAAACTCTTGTAACTTATTTTGCCTTTATATTATTATTTAACTTGATAAACCTTTTAAAACTAATAACGTAATCTATGTTTAGATACCTAACAATCTAAATTCTGGGATATCTTTACGGTTGTAATTTTAGGAGCCATTTTCCTACAAAAATCTGGTCTATATGTGTGGTTGTACTACGTAATTCTCTATTGATGAAATATATTTATCCACACTAGAATACTTATACAATATTTATTTGAAACTAGTTTTCCGCCCGCGGCTTCACCCGGGGTTTTCCCGAAAATTATTCAAATTTTTATCGCCGTGCAAATCTTTGGACTTCAGCGAACATTAAAAAAAGGACTTGGTAAAATTGGTCCAGGCGTTGTTGAGTTATGTGCTTATCAACACATTTTGCGATATCATTGATGACCTCTTTTTTAAAGTCTGTCAACCTTTGAAAAAGAGGCTGACAATAGTGACTGAGTTTCTTGCGCTGCTTCTTCTCAGCACTGGCACATTTATTGTCCTGAAGCAGTGGTAGGGTTAATACTAGGACATGTAAAAGTGCTTTTTAAAGCCTATTTGCAGAAATAAATAAAATAAAAAAAACATTTTGCAAATCTGTTATGCCACAATATGACAACTAAAAATATAACTTTCCAGCAGCGATGAGAATTCCCGGGTGCTATATTATCCCTCCCCTCCACCGACTGCATATTATTTACATTCCTGCTGGAACTCGTTCCAGGATGTAGCGTGTTCTGACCGCTGGCGCACTTCATAAATATTCCACCAGTATTCTCTAAACAGCTGTATCTCTATGTAATGCACATTTTCAGCGATTTCCATAAACATATTTAAATAAAAAAGTGAAAGAAATCAACTTGGAGGTAGTCTCAGGGGCAAAAACATTACATGCAAACTACCAATGCTATTTTGAAGAATGTTTGCCATTTCAAGATCTTCTTCTTCTTCGTCGCTACACTCCTGCCAGAGTGGTCGTAGTCGTCACACGAGGTCCGGTGGCAAGCCTCACAATCCGTCGCCATTCCTCCCGCGCTGCAGCCTTTCTTGTGCGCTCATTTCAAGATATGAAAATATATAACAATCTGTAAGGGTTCTTTCAAATTAGACGTTTTGAGACGGACATTTGTCGTCCGTTTGCAGGACCGCACAGTCTGTTGGTAATTGACTGTCTTTTTTATTCCAACGCAGTTGTCATACAATTTTCAGGATGCGGTCCTGCAAACGGACGACAAACGTCCGTCTCAAAACGTCTAATTTCAAAGAGATCTAAGAAATGAAGTTATCCCTCATGAAAAATCATTACAAAGACCCCATAACAATACATCGAACCTCTCGTTTTCGGCTCACAAAACCTTCATCATGATTCGCAATAAAAAATAACTAGGCATCTAACCAACCGATTTCTCAATAGCGTCTCCATCAAAGGATATGAAGTCGAGCAATTCGACCAAACACAACTTTCTGTGCTTCGCTCGCTCCACTCAATTAAGTAGGAAAGCAGCCGACCGCGGCGCCTCTACCGGCGCGGGCGGAAACTACGCTTGAAATTGAACGCTGTATTTGCGACTGCGGCTCAGATGGCTTGTGGGATTTGGCACAAATACCTTCGTGTAAAATGGACGCTAAATACTGGACGGCCGAAATTCGACCTATACGTTACAATGGCACTAATTGAGGCTGGTATTTTATACCATTTTTACGGTATAATTTATATTAATGTTTAGGAATAGCTATTTACCACACATTACAACTCAACTTTAAATGGTCTCATAACTAGAGTGGCGTATATTTCTTATCTTTGGTTGTCATCACTGAAAACTATCGGTACTTAGCTATAAAGCATCTTAAAAAAAAATTGATAAAAAAGTATCATTTTCTGAAAATAATTTTCTTTCTGAATTTTCAGATAGATCAAGTATACTATGTAACCTATTATTGTTACCGTTTGAAAGATATCGTGAAGCACTTTCAGGATCAGTAAGCAGTTTTTCGATATCTTGTATAGTTTAGAAATAATCGAGTGAGATCACTTTTCGTTTCCACCCTGTATAGTTTGGTGTGCTGGAGACTGTACCACACCACCCTGGTCTCCCATTCGATTTATACACATTTGAAGCGAAGTGGCGCGAGACATTGCTTCAATTCCAGTAACTGCGCAGTTTCGGCGGGCGCCGCCAGAGGCGCCACGGTCGGCTGCTTAGACTTAATTGACCAGCGGCAAGTTAGTATGTTTGGTGAATTTGCTTCAGCGCATTTATGGAGTTCAAAGAATTTCGCAATTCCCTTTGAAATAAATGGTATTAGGCAATTGGCGGAACGACTTGGTACGATTGTTTCTCAATTGGAGCACTCTGGTTTATTGTTATAGAACACTAGCTTTCCGCCCGCGGCTTCGCCCGCGTGGAATTTTGTCTGTCACAGAAAAACTTTATCGCGCGCGTCCCTGTTTCAAAAACCGGGATAAAAACTATCCTATGTTCTTTCCCGGGATTCAAACTATCTCTATGCCAAACATCAAAATCGGTTGCGAGGTTTAAGCGGGAAAGCGTAACAGACAGACAGACAGACAGAGTTACTTTCGCATTTATAATATTAGTTGGGATTAGTTGGGTTAATAAAATACGGAGAAAATCATTATCATCGTCATCATTTCAGCCATAGGACGTCCAATGCTGAACTTAGGCCTCCCCCAATGATTTCCACATCGCCCGGTTGGTAGCGGCCTGCATCCAGGGTCTTCTTGCTTCCTTAATGAGGGCGTCGGTCCACCTTGTGGTGGACGTACCACGCCGCGTTTTCCGGGAAAATATACCTACACTAGTTATTTTGCCTAACATCAATGGAAGTGATGATATGTTTGTTCTTAAGGAGCCAACCCATCTGGCAACCGTAGAGTGTATGCCAAATCCTTCATTTGTCTCTGGTAAATGAGAGATGATCTTTCTCCTTTAGTGAAGACTATGACCTGATGATGATTTAAGATCTTTTTAGAAATGTATATCTTAGGCTGAGTTGCACCACCTAACTTTAACGATAACCGGTGCTTTCTGTATGCAAAGTGACAGATTTCTGACGTTTGTTAAAGTTTAAGATGGTGCAACCCAGCTTTAGAAACAGATTCCACTAGTAAAGCTACTTTTAGACGTACCTTCATTTACCATACAACGATTTGTTTACCTACCCACACACATCATGCGAGTGCGGCCTAATTTTCCTACCCCCAATATACAACCCACGTTGCTCGTACAAGCACCTGTCACACAGCCCGCGCGCCATTACACATTAATACACGACTACCGTCATATTTGCGAAGGGCAAAGACTGAATACATCGTAAATACTCTGTACACTTGAAGGACCAGAACGACTGGCATTAAATATTTCAATTCCGTTCCATTCCTTCGGGAGCTCTACTGCCATTTTGTTCTGTACAGTCGGCTTCGGAAAGATTATAATTAAATGCGAGGTTGCGGAGTTGTCCTTTAGGGAGCGTTGTCTCTGGCAAAAATACACAGAAGAAGCCTATAAATAAGCTTTTAATCGTAATAAGGCTTGTAAACCTATTGTCAAGATTAATTACCTAAGCAGAATAAGAATAAAATAATAAAAATAAATAAATATCCTTGGACATTTTACACTGCGCCTCTAGTCCCAAACTAAGCAAAGCTTGTACTATGGGTACTAGACAACGGATATAAACATACTTAGTACGTTTCTTTTCCATTCTTAAATATTTCATAAGTATTATAGTTGCATAATAAATAAATGTACACAAGTTTACACACAAATCTCTTGACTTTCAATAAGACAAACAAAACTTTCACAATCACACACACTTGAAAATTTTTTATTCAAATGAATGATCTGGAAATGCTCCAGACGCATGTTAACGTCGAAAAATAATATAATTACAATATTTATCCGCAAGTATTCACTGTAAATAAATGTTCGGATTTAAAATTTTGTACGCGTGAAACCCGTTTTACCCCTTTAGGGGTGGAGTTTCGTAAAATCCTTTCTTAGCAGATGCCTACGTCATAACATCTACGTGCACGCCAAATTTCAGCCCGATCTGTCCAGTGGTTTAGGCTGTGCGTCGATACATCACTATATCAGTCAGTCACCTTTGAGTTATACAATTTAGATTTCTGTTTCTTTTTCAAACTTTGTGTATTTCTTCAGCCGACTATACCGTCTCTACAAATGAAGGTATTGCTTCACGCTCGAAAGTTTTTAATTACTCCAATAAAAACCGCGGATTGGAGCGTGTCGTCAAGACTTAACCGACCGTTAGGGCCCCACTCGAAATTAACTAAAGTTTAATATTTTACAAGCGATTTACTTGACAATCACAGTTTGTTTTGTTAATTACCTTTGGGTTGCGAGTCAGTGGCGGCTTGACATAGTCATTTATTTTTGGAGTTTGACAGAATAATTTGCTGTGACTCAAAGGTCGGATCTTCATTTAGAAGTAGCGGATTCGATTCCCAAGAAGAACACGAATACTTTATAATTATCACTTTGTATGTTTGTTCTTAGATACATAGGATAGGAACTATATTAATTAGTAATAATAACACTGCCTAAATTATATTCCATGTAGTTGTATTCCTTCTAATCTATCTATGTGTATTAGACACACTACATAATCCTTTCTGTCAAAGTTTAAATAATAAAATCTATGAAACAGAATCTTCAACACAGTTATTCTAGGGATGAGTTGCACCACACCTAACTTTAACGGTACGGTTTGACAGATTTTTGACGTTTGTAAAGTTAAAGTAAGATGGTGCAAGTGCAACCCAGCCTTACAAAATCCAGAATAGGTAATAATATTATAGTAAGTTACAATATTTTGCACCTTAAATTGTCACATTTTAACTGCATTTTAACTGTGGAAACTTTGCTGATTTCTGTCCTATTTTTAGTGTTTGTCTGTATATCAAAATTGTTTGTTTCCCTAATATAAATAAATAAAATTAAAACAATAACACTCAGCACCAAACATTTTCTTGCCCCATAACCTCAAACGAACAAAAATTGAAACCAAACTGAAAACCGAAATAAAGAAGTCACTTACATCAACGGTCTACGCAATCATGTCGTAGCAATTATGCCCTCGTAGCAACCGCTACGCGCTACAGCGAGTATTAATTCGAGCTCGTAGCGCTGTAGCAGCTGGACTTTTAGGATTCCGTAGCCCGTATTTTCGTAGCAAGGGAAATGAAAAGTTACTTTAAATAAAAAGTTGTATTTTACTTTGAAGTTTATATTTGCTCATAGATTTTATCTGTAACAGTTTTTGTAATGTACATTTCTAGCAAGTGGTCGATATGGAGTTCGGTCTATCACTATAATAATAAAATTTTATTTCACTTCTTGTGGCAATAAATACTTGAACAATGTAGGTTTATAATATTATTATGCGTATTTTTCTTGATTATTTTAAGTTTCCTTTAGTTTTTATTAGAAAGTAGAATATTAAATTATATTACTGTCGAGCTGGGTTGAACAAATTTTTTCTTCAGTCATTTTCATCTAACAAAAATTTTAAATGAAGTGAGCAAGTCGTTGCGCACTTTGCCAGTTTTTCTCCCTTAATATCCAAATTAATACTGCAGATTATTGGCTTATTACGGCTGCCTCGCGATTTCGTTACGAATCTCATCTTACTTAACTTGATCTTATTGAATATTGCAGGGTTGGAGACGTTTGCAAGATTATTTCCTATTTTTCAAGATAGAAAATATGCTAGTTTAATTTTAATGTTATTCTTATTTGTAGAGCTATCCCCACGTTCCTACTAATATTATAAATGAGAAAGTAGCTTTGTGTGTGTGTTACGCTTTCAAGACTAAACTACTGAACTGGTTTTGATGTAATTTAGTATAGAGATAGTTTTAGTCCCAGAAAAGGATATAGGCTAGTTTTGATTCCGTTTTTTGAAACAGGGTCGCGCGTGATAAAGTTTTTTTGTGACAGACAAAAGTTCACGCGTGCGAAACCGCGGACAAGAACTAGTTAATAGATAATAAAGAAAATAGACGGAATAACTAATTTTCTTCGTTTTTCTTTCGCAGATGAGAGGAGTGTCGTGGTGCATAGCGCTTCTAGCGCTCCTAGCCACAGTGACAACCGACACTATAGAAGGTTAGTACTTACTATGTAACAAATCCTTAGTTTCCCATAGAAAATTAAATTAGCTGGGCTAGGATGCGCGCCGTGACTTTATCGACGCCAAAATGTATGGGCAAAATCGATAAAATGGCGTGAAACCGCTTATCACGGCGCGCATCCTAGGCCTACTGGTTTTAAATTTTACAGCGTGAAAATAGTTCTTGACGGTAGTAATCTGTGCCCAAAGTAGCCAAAAAGTTCGCAACACGTCTTTGAGCCATGTATTAATTAGGCAACATTTGTTGATAAACTGTTTATGACTAGTGTGAAACAAGTTTACCATAAACACAGGTTTCTGAAACTTGGCCGTCCACACTTGTCAGCTGTTGATAGGATGTCGCCCGACGAGTTGTCACTACTTCCATGTTTATAAACTCGCGCAACACACGTCCACACCTGTTGACTTCTGTTTGTAAACTAGATGTTTCGTCTTGCTCTCCACTCATAGCGGGGAGCACGGCAACATGTATCATAAACAATGTTTCATCACCTATGTTTATGAACTGTTTACAGAGATGATGAAACATTATAAAACATTGTTTATGAACAGTTTATAAACAGTGTTTATCAACAAATATTGCCTAATTAATACATGGCTTTATAATTGGAATAAGGTTGTGTTGTGTTGTCAACTTTGTGGCCACTTTGGGTGTCGCGAATTTTTGACGCTGACTTGTGTATTGAGTAACATTGGAAACAGTAACAATTCTAAAGCTAGACATCGTCAACAATGTTGGTTGAAGGTAATACCCAAACATATACCTGTTAAATCCATAATTGCGTTCTCCGAAACAGCTTTAGTAAATTCCATGTTTACCAAAAAACCAATCAGGCTAGGTCTAATATAATTTTGAGAACATTGGTTTGCTGTTTGTTTTCAAGCAATATTATACTTATTACTCGTGAATATTGGTGTATTTTAACATATTAAAAGCCAGGCTTGACTTAATTATATGAGAGAAAAAGAGAGCAAAACAGAAGGGCCGATTTTAAATTTTTTGTTTTGTTTGCGAAGACATAATAATTTATTCTTCTTACATCTATAATATAAAAACGAATCGCAAAATGTGTTGGTAAGCGCATAATGCAACAACCAATTTTACCAATTCTTTTTTTTAAATGTTCGTTGAAGTCCAAGGATGGTTTTACGGCGAGAAAAAATCTAATAATTTCCGGGAAAACCTCTGGAAAAGCCGCGGGCGGAAAGCTAGTTGTTGATAAATAAATTAATATTAATACGTCAATTATATTTTGTGAGTTAAACTTGTCTGACAGTGAAATTGGTCCTAAATAAATAAACCACTAAATTAATGTGTTCTCAAAACATGAACACACTTTCCGATAAATTCTATCAGTATTAGTGCAATTTTCTATCTCTAGATGTAAAATGAATTATGTTCATTCAGAACAAGTCAAACGAACTTAATAATACAATTTATTTTTGAAAGCATTTCTTTTAAACGAAAGCTTATTGATAAACAATCAATCATATAAACGAGGCATAAAATTGGTATTTTAGTCAAAATTAAATGGAAGTTTGACGAAAAAACACTTACTTTAAACCTTCAAGAGAAAATGTAATCTCCAAGATGAACGTTTTCGTTCAAATCGTTTTTAGAGTTAAAAACCGTTTAAGAATTCAATCAAATTTGTTTGCAAATGACATCCATCATGTTCATTTGAAGAAATATTTTTAAGTCGCAAAAAAGTTGGAGGAAAATAAACACAAAATACAATATTGAATTTTCTTTTTTCTTTTTTTTTCTATTTTTCTTTTCTTTATTAGGAAAACATACGGCTTATATTGTAACACTGGGAAATTTACAGTGTTTCCATTCTTAATTAAATAGAGTCGGTAGTCCAAAAGAAACAATGGTAACAAAACCGACTATTCCACTTAGAAAGGCCTACTTTTCCACATCAATGATATAATGCCACACACGTGTACCTGCTTCCTATTACAGTGAAATTACCCTCATATAATTTTAAAACAGGCTCTTTCACGGTCCTTTGTGTTCGCGTGAATCATTTAGAGGACGGCCAGGTTGCCGTAACTACGGCAACTTTGTGAGGCGACAAACATTTTGTGTTTATTACACATTGATGGCAACTCTTTACACTAGTTGGAAATTGGTTTTATGTTTATCTTAGCGCCGTCCCGTCAATTCATAAGACTAACGCCTGAACTCTTGGTTTGGAAAAAAAAGTAGCAGCTACTTTTTCAGTTTATTACAAATAGGTTTTTGAGTTATGCATTTTGCTGCTTTGTCATTCTATCATCTTTGCAATGGCTGGGTTGCACCATCTTACTTTAAACTTTAACAAATTAATGTCAAAAGTTTATCAAACTCCATACAAAGGTTGTGGTTATAGTGCGTATATTTTAATATTGTAATGTGTGACATCAGCAAAAATAAATAGTGTTGATTGTAACACAAAATTGAACTAAATAACATGACTGTTTTCAAAGACAAACCAATTTAACTTAAAAATTGCACTATTCGTTTTTACTAAAAATATTCACTTGAAAAAGAGATTTCATTGTGTTCATAAAGCTTGTACTAAATATTTGAATTGCACTACCTTAATACTGGTAGCAGTACCTACTAGGCATGTGTTCAAGTATATCATTTCCTTTACTCTTAAGAGGCTTAAAAACTACAACAGTATCAATTTTCTTGTCAAAGGTTCCAGTGTTCATGTTTCGGCCTGATAAACTAATCCCAGCTCAACCGCCGCGGCCGCTGCTAAATCATTCAGTCTACAAAGGGACAGTTTTACCGAAAGTGCCCTTATTTGACAATAAAGGTAGGTAGGTATATGTGTACAGTAATGTTTGACCATAAAGGTAGAATACCTAGTAAGGTACGAACGCCCGTATTCACAAACATTACTATGAGGTCTCACAGTGCGCGTGGACGCACAGGGTGACACACGAACCAATCACAGAGCTGTAATCAACGCTGTGCTTTCGAATTACTGCTTCATTTAAGCTAGCATCGTTTGTGAAAACGGACGTTAGTGAAACGTGACAGGAGTAAAATCTGGACCACTTTCAATTGAAGTACAATCACATTACAATGTACCTAATGCAGGCTTATAAAGCCTTTTACTACGACTCTACATTACATTTGCGGTATTTTAAATAAACAACTTGAATAAATCGAACAGCCTAAGGTGGAAAATTAGTTTAAGGTGACCAAACCGACGACGCACCGACATAAGTCGTCGACTTTTGTTCATCATCATCTCAGCCATAGGACGTCCACTGCTGAACATAGGCCTCCCCGAATGTGTTCCATGTTTCCCGGTTGGTAGCGGCTTGCGAATTTTGCTATGTTGTCAATTATAGAAAATATGTCGTCGACATGATTCTTAATGAAATAAAGCAGCTGCAGTATAGAGTCCTTAAGGATATAACGCCCGTTTTTGAAAAACGATGCTTTCTTAAGTGAAGCGGGATCGAAATCACAGCGTTAAATAAAGCTCTGCGATTAGTTCGTGTCACCCTGTGCGTCTACGCGCACTGTGAGACCTCATAGTATTTTTTGTGAATAAGGGCGATACGCCGATATGTCGTCGACATGATTCTTATTAAATAAAGCAGCTGAGTATAGAGACCTTAAGGATATTAGTTTCAATCCTCAAGGATATTTTTAGCAGTTCACAACTTATCAGTATTTCGCAATAACCGAGTTCTAACTACAACTAACAGCTCAACGGCTCCAGAACAAAAGTTGTGACTGCGAGCCCTGTAGCGCTAAGATAACGGGCGGATTAGCGGATTGCCGGGAACAAAATGGCGTTGCTTTGAACGAACTACTGGTACAGTATATCGAGCTAAACAATGCACCTTGAGTAGTGGTGTTAGGTGTTATTTCGCAACAAAATATGTTGTTAGATTGTAGTTACATTAAGTTATGTAGGATACTTAAAACATTTAGATGTTATAGGAAACTACTTAAACAGCGCTGTGTGAAATTGTCTAAAGATATTTATTTATTTATTTAATTATAAGAAAATCACAGATCATGGAAACTATAGGTCAACCAGCGGCCGCCCGCGACTTCGTACGCGTGGATCCCGTTTTAAATCCTTAGGGGTGGAGTTTCGTAAAATCCTTTCTTAGCGGATGTCTACGTCATACCATCTACCTGTATGCCAAATTTCAGCCCGATCCGTCCAGTGGTTTGGGCTGTGCGTTGATAGATCACAATGTCAGTCAGTCAGTCAGTCACCATTGAGTTATATTATATTTAGATGCCTGAGGGTGCCTGAGGGTGCCTGAGGTATGGGATGGGAAGCTATGGGTCATTTGGGCACAGTCAAATGACAGCAAGATTTCAGATCTCCTTCAGATTTGAATGCTCTGTCACGTCATAATAATATGTCAATGTCACCCCTTCCATGCCGCTTCCATACATCAGTGGGTCTAGACAATGTGCAAATTATAATCGCAAACCAGTCGAAAAGTGGTCGAAAAGCCCCTTTTTTGTATGGAGTTTTGACGGATTCTATTTTCGATTCGATCAAAAAGTGCGTTTTGTCTAGGGGGGCAGGCATTGAGTGAGTTAGACCCAGTTTCACCATACAATGTTAACTAATTAACACCCCTGTTAAATCATTTAACAGACAGTTAAGGTTATTGAATGTCCCACCATGTTTTAACGAATGTTTAATATCCGTAATCCGTTGTTAAACTTAATTGCTGCTCATTAGGTCCGTTAGATGGGTAACAGGCTGTTAGTTTACTGTCACACAGGAACAGGATCGCGATGGCAATGATGACAATTTTATTTTCGAAAACGAGAATCCTTTGGAAGTTTTAGAAAATTTGGTCTATACAGTGTGTTTGGGATAGGGCTAGCGATAATTTAAATTTTATCGACAAAAATGCTCCCATAATATGTAGGCCGCCCCCCCCCCCCCCCCCCCTCATGGAATGGGGGAAGGGCTTAATTTTTGAAATTTAT